TTTTACCTCCTATTCTCTACAGCCAGCTTGCTCTCTTTTGGGTCCCTTGGCAGTATTTCTCTCTCTCTGCTGACCTGCTATGCCTCATGCAGAAGAGAGAAGGGAAGGCAGAGGAGGAAGCCTTCACTCTATAATGGCTGGCTAAGGTTCAACAGCGATGGTGAGTGAGAACCCTACATGCTCAGAGATACTCTGGTAATTATATATTTAATATTAGAAGCTATACCTTATAATATTACATGTGTGTTTGCTGGGGAGGAGCACAGGGCATACAGTAGACATGTGGGTCTTTTGGTTGATGATAATTGTGAATGTGGTTCTCCATGAATCATGGACTGAAGACTACTGCACTACAGAATTCATGATAAAATATTGCCAAATTTTAGTCCTGTGATCAGTTCCAATTTTTAAAAATATTTACATTTTAGACCCAACATTTTCCAGTACATGTACTCCTCCCTTCAAGAACTGCAATCTAATTCTTGATATGTTTGTTGTTATATCAGAACCAGAAAATGATGATTTGCATTTGTCTTGCTTAACAAACTACAGACTGCACTCCTGACTAGCAGGGCAAGCGCAAGATGTAACAGCATAGTTTACTCAAACCAGGAAATAGCAAATTAGATTATCTTGTGAAAGTTGAGAAGGAAAGGGAAGGATGAAAGAGACGAGCCCAAGGATCTTCTAGGCTAATTCACATGGCTCCTTTGAGAAAGAACGGGATAAGCATGTAATAAATGGAACAATGGATACTGAGCACCAAATCATGGTTTAAACCAATTATTGCCAAAGTTTAGTTCTGTGATCATTCATTTCAAAGATAAACTTTTTAGATTCAACATATCTGAACCAAGTCCACTAGACAAATCTGTGACATTCTATGCAGATACACACCCTTATAAGCAAACTGACTTATAAGCCCATTGTTAGGTGGCAAATTTCCCAGTGAATTCCATTCAGACAATCTGCCATAACCTTCTGTGCTCTTTACACAAATGCTTGTAGGCTTAGCCCAGGCTCATCAGAGCTTGCGAGCTAAGCAGAGTTGGCCACAATCAGTACTTGGATGGGAGACCACCAAGGTAGACTGGGGTTGCTATGCAGAGAAAGGCAATGGCAAACCACCTCTGCTGAACTCTTGCCTGCAACGCCCCGTGAATGAAGTTGCCATTAAGTTAGCTGTGACTCAATGACACGTTCTTCTTCTTAGCAGGTTCTTAGTTCTGATCATTAGTGTTGATGCTGAACGCTGAACAATTTCTGAACATCTAACAGTTTCAATGCCAAGGTCAATGCAAAGACCTCTGAAGTCTGCATTCTCCTGCTGTACCACAAATGCTGCTTGAACTATTCTATGTGACAGCAACTGCAATGTAAGCACCTTTTTTCCTTCCTAAGAAGAACTGAGAAGAACTGAAGGCACTCATATCTATCTGCCTTGATTAAGCTTCATCTCTCAGTTCTTTGCTTTGAACTGTGAAATGTCTGGGGTGAGCAAGTTACAAAATAATACCTGCAAAAATATATCATCTACATACAATCCAAGAAACCAAGTATTTGTGTTAGACTATCAATTGTGTTTTCTGCATACAGTTAACATGCTGAAGAATGGAGAAATGTCTTTCAAAATACTCTGAAGCAAACATGTAGTCACCACATTAAAATAATGAAATCAATTGGTCTTCAGACTCAAGAAAATGAAGTGACAATATGTGCTGGAATCAGAAGCACGAAATTGTACAGGAATTCAAAATTCACCCACTACGAGCAGATTCTTTACTTTCAGCTGCATAGAATCATTCATCTTTTTTGCCTTTTATAAATGCCATTGGGAGGAGACTTCTCCAGGCCCACTGTTCCTTTACTCAAAGCTTTTAGAATTATGAATCCAAATGCACTGTGCTATGTCAGGAAGCTACTGAATCCTTTTAATTATCTTACGATACACAAATATTGTCTTTTAAAACTGGCACTAAAAATTCTGAACAAGTAGAAATCCCCATCTGTTCTGAGGCTACAATGCTACGCGTATTTTACATGGGAGTGAGTCCCACTGAACTAAGAGGAACTTACTTGTGGGCAAACATACATTGGCTTGGACTCTTGCTATATTATTACAAAAACTGTACATTTTATTACCCACAGTAAGTTCATCTGATTTCTGACCTTTCTTTTCCAGGGGCGATTTCTCACTAGAGCTGCCTCGCAACGCAACCACCGTTTGCCCCGTCACAAACATGTCAATTTCACACCCGAGGCTGCGGGGCTGCATTTTGACTCGCGGCTTCTCCCGATTCCCTCCACAGTTTTGTGATCCTGGTTTTTGAGGATCACGAAACTGCGGAGGGAATCGGGCAAAGCCGCGGGTCAAATGCAGCCCCGCAGCCTCGGGTGTGAAATTGACGTGTTTGTGTTGGAGCAAACAGTGGCTGCGCCGCGAGGCAGCTCTAGTGAGAAATCGCCCCAGCTGTAGTCTTCTTCAATTAGAAGCAGGACAGATTCACTGCCCATTTTGATGGCCAGTACATTCACCGCCCTCACTCACTCAGGTAGGCCATTCCACAAGGTACAAGTGGCAAGAAAGAAGGCTCTCAAGCATGCTGTTGCAAAATAAGCAACTACAAGGAGAGTGCTGACAGAAGGAACATTTATCTGGATTCAATTTTAGCTTCTTCATCCCCACTCATTTGATCACAGCATTCATATACTCTATCCAGGCCCGAGATAGCTCCCTTCTGAAGGTTTTGTAAATGACAGGTATAACTAGGTATCATCAGTGTATTGATGATGACACCCAGCTCCAAAGTTACAGATGATCACAGGGCACATAAAGGGTTGCTGGGGAAATGGGGGGATCCAATGAAATAAAAAGCAGAAAGATGTGACATTAGATAGGGAAACTGCACTGTGAAAACAGGATAATGAATTATTTATCCTTCTTTAAACATTTCATTATCATTTAAACAATTCATTATCCTTCTTTAAACATAAGGAAGGTTGAGGCTTCATAACTGTGGTTTAATTGCTGGGATTTTGGAAAATAAAGATATTCTTCAGAATATGCTTTTTTTCTGACCTTCACTACTGACAAAGTTGAGAAACAAGAAGGGTTCCATACCACTGTCTGAAACAGCTTGCAGCTGCCTTTTCTTGCTTTACGCAACCCGGTTCTCTGCTGAGCTAATGGAAAATAATGATTCTATTTTCTCTTTGCCTAAGCTTTAATTTCCACTCAATCCCTCACAGGTTTAAATCTGGAACTAGGTCAGCAAAGCATTCTGTATGTTTCTTGTTCCATGTGATTTGTAATACTGACCTATGCAGATTTTATCAGTACTTCTTTAATTGTGATGAAGAATAGGGTGTTTCTTCTGAGCTACTGTATGATGAAATTGATTCTAAATGATAGATTTGAATCTTTCTGTGTACTGAATGGGAGTGATTCAGAGTGGAGAGCAGAACGGCAGATACGCTATTTCATTTTTCAGGAAGAGAGGTGTAAATGTGACCTTTCAAACCAGGGATCCCCAACGTGGTCAGTGTGGGTGCCACAGCACCCGCCAACACCTTTTCTGGCACCTGCCAAGTGTTTTAGGAAGTGGGTAGTGCCAGGTAGGGCTTTTGCCCAGCAAGGCTTCTGATTGATGGCTGGAGATTTGATTGGCTATGCAGATTATTTAAAATGCTGATTTGGCACAAGGAACTGCACTGTGTGACTCAATTTAAGATGTAGCAGTCATTTTGTGGCCGGCTCCACCTCCTGTGCCAGCCATTTTGTGGCAGTCACTTTGTTGCTGTGCCCACCATGCCATGTCAAAATTCCAAATGTGCCCGCAGGCTCAAAAAGGCTGGGGCCCCTTGTTGCCAAAAGAGCTGCAGGCCCTTGGGAACAAAACCATAACAGAACTCTTAAGCCATCTTTTGAACATTCTCACATTGATTTATTCACAGCTGCACTCTATCTCACTTAACTTGGGCAGCATCATGCAGTGGTTAGAGTATCAGACTATGACAAAGGAAATTCAGGTACAATTTCCCACTCTGCCAGGGACAGTGACCTTGGCCCAGTCATTGTCTCAGCGTAACCTACATCACAGGATAGTTGCTATGAGGATAAAATGGAGCAGAAGAGAATGTTACAAGGCCATTTGGATCCCCATTGGGGAGAAAAGCTGGGTATAAATATCAAAATTATAAGTAAGTGTGGGTGGACTGATGATCGCTGAACACCAGTGACAGGGCCACAGAGATGTGCACATGGCAGATGGAATCTCCTAATCATACATTTAAGACAGCCCAAGACAGTCTAACACAGCCAGGGATCCAACATCTGACTGTAGCCTGTTCCGAATCTGCAGCTGGCTGCTGGTCTTTCTTCCTACCCTGAGGCAGAGTATCTAGTACGACCCTTCCCCCCCCCCATTTTTTCCCATTTGGAGGACCAGTATTGATAACCTTAGTTTACTCTCAAAAGCATTTGCCCCATTCTTTTAGGATTCAACAGCTGCATGAGTCATTGTATGGAGGTTGTCTGGGGCCAGCTTCAAAGCTTGAGGACAATTTGCACAGTTTCTGAGATTAGTATACAGTTGACAATGTGCTTTTATTCAGTAAGGGAAATAGCACTTGGCTGAATGACATCTGGCTTTCAGGAGCTGCTACATTCCACTTTGGTCTGGTGAAGGAGATCTACAGTGTATCTTAATTTTTACGGAGATAAGCAGTGGCATGCACGCCAGCTGCACTCCCAAACTGGTAGCTGTAGGCAGCATAAAAGGCACATGTCATCCCCTGCCTTTAGCTATTCTTCCTCTGCAATACACTCAACAGACATGCCGGGTCTGTTTCTTCCCCTCAGTCAGGCTATCAATCATAATTCAGTATCCCTGCCAATTTTACACCACTGTGATGGAAGCTGTAAACGACAACAATTTTGACCTCTTTCCAACCTTCTCTCCCTCTGTGCTCCCTTGAGGGGGCACAATGACTCCTCTTACCTCAGATGGTTTCGTGATGCACCTTCCTTTCCCTGAACACTGAAGGTCACCTGACTGGCTTCCTGCGGGCAAGCACATGCTGACTTTCACTATCACAGTCAAGCGTAAAGCCACAATGCATTTGGCAACAGAATCATTCACAAAACCTGAGGAAAAGAGATAAAGTACAATATTGTTAGTTTTATAATGTCACTTTTAAAAAGAAAAACAAGACTTTATTGTAAAATCACTGATGTAACAGAATGTGAGGTAAAGATTTCAGAAATCAGTGGATTTGAAGTACACCTTCAGGCTCTTCCATTGATCCTACACTAATTTCAAAGGCCTTTGGACCATATGTCAAATCCATTTAGAAACTGAGGAGAGTTTTAGAAGTTGTTTGTGATATACTACATGAGTCTGCTGTTCAATGGGGGGGGGAATGCCAGTGGATATGCACAGGGAATCACTTCAAGTGGCGGTCAGCCACCGCTTGGGATGGATTTATAGCCAACTCCTTATTTATATATTATTCACAAGAATCAAGAAACTATATGGCTGTTAATACTGATGATAGATTTATGGGCAAAACAATACTACTGTCACTTAACACAGACAATACATATCTTAGAGTGTAGTTACAAGTCTTCTTACATCAGAAAACAGCTACTTAAAAATAACTGATTAGAAACAGAAATACTAGCTGTTGCATGAGCAGAATATCTAAAGATATGATCTTATGACAACATACGCAGCAGCATAAATGCTTAGGTGACAAATCTCCTCTGATAGTAGCCAAGCTATCGGAAACAATCATCCTCCTTGCACAGAACATGGTTTCTTCCTCTTTTTACTTCATGTAGAGGATATATGGAAACCAAATGAGAAATAGTTCACTTTCTCATGCTGTTTTTACTCACCTGAAGCCATAACTTATTTGCTACACAACTGCTGACACTGCTCTATAACTGAAATACATACATAATGATTTCTTTCAGACAAAACAGCAAGGACTTTTAGGAAATGATTCTAATGTTATGTGAATTAATTTAATTATGGGAAAGGAGCAGAGAATGCAGACAGAAAAACAGTGTTGAACTTTTGCTTCCCTCAAAAGGAATGGAAGATAGGCGGATTTTCTGGGCACGATCTCACCGCCACATCTGGGAAGCGTGGCTCAACCGAGGCTTCCCGCAGAAGATGCTCAGCAAAAAACTAGTGCCTTGGAGGTACTAGTTTCCGGAAACCGCGAGGCAAGGGCGGGCGTCTTTTCATGTTTCTGGTGGCATCCGGCACCCGCCCATGCCCCACTGCAAAAAGGGGGGGTTTCGAGTTCTCCAGGGATGCGCACAAGCACCCAACAGGGCATGCGCATACTTTAGGTTAAAAAAACCAAAATACAACCCCGTTTTCCGTGCCGCACCTCTTCTTTGGCGCGTCGTGTAATCAGCACTTCCTCCCTAACCATGGGACCTCGCCGGGACCACGAGGGGACGCCTGATCGCGCAGTCACATTTTTTTTCACTGTGAGGCAAACAGCCATGCCTCCCCCCCCCCCCGCGATATCCGGCCCATGTGACCGGGGCCTCTGTCTTTTAAATTTTAATCCTAATGATCTTTTCCCATAGAGATAATGTTTGCAGGGTTAACAGAGCTAATCCAGAATTCCACATACTTAGCCTTTTGCAATGGAAAGTACACTTAAAAAAAAACAACAACTTCATAATACTTTTGCAAAGAAAAAGAAGAGATTGGATTTATACCCCGCCCTTCACTACCCAAAGGTGTCTCAGAGTGGCTTACAAACTCCTTTCCCCTCCCCACAACAGACACCCTGTGAGGTGGGTGGGGCTGAGAGAGCTCTTGACAGAAGCTGCTCTTTTTCAAGCACAGCTCTTATCAGAACTATGGCTTGCCCAAGGTCATCCAGCCAGGTGGAAGTGAAGCAGTGGGGAATCCAACCCGGTTCTCCCAGATTAGAGTCCGTGCACTTAACCACCACACCATACTAGGGAAATTCGGTTCATTGTACTTGCTGTGGCACTTGTACAAGCAACACAATATTTAACCCATATTCTGAGAGGAGAACAAACTGATGGAGTCACATGGATCAACAGCCTGCTGCCTCAGTACAGATACACTTGTATAGGCAGAGGCATGCATAGGGTCATCACAGTCCATCACCTATTCAGAACTAGAAAGGAATACTTCCCTAAGAGAGAGAACAGTTCCATGGTTCGTCTGCATTTCTTAACCAGCATGGTCTGTAGTTGCCTAGAACACATTTCCTGAGCTCAAGAAATGAATTACAAGATCTGAACAAATGCACAAGCAGCTCTTCCTATCCAAGGGCTTTGAGGCTTATGTTTCTCAAGCCTCTCCCTCAACCATGCAGCACAGTAAACTGTTTTGAAATCGAGGGATTGGGTCATATTGTGACTCAGTGTTAGGGCTTTGCATGCAGAAGGTCCCAAGTCTAATCCCCAGAATCTCCAGTTAAAAGAACCAGTTATTAGGTGATGTGAAGGGCCCTGACATGAGACCTGCGACCATGGAAAGATGCAGCCAGTCGGAGCACACAATACTGACCTTGACAGACTAGTGGCCTAACAGTATAAGGTAGCTTCACTGGGTGAGTCTAAGCCTTTGGATGAACCTCAAGTTTCCCTCTTTGCATCCAGCTCTGACTAGATTTAGCAACGGTGGAAGTGGTAGATAGGAGGTCCAGTACTACTGTAGGGTGTATTTGGTGCAATAGCTACAGAGTGTTCACAGACTCCTGATGACTTACCAAGAGTTTAAGAGCCAGAAACTTCAAATGCCACAAGTAGGCCGGTTCGGCTACCACAATACCAAACCACAGAAACTTCCAAAGGATTAAAAACAACTTAGATATGGTCTCTGTGCTGTGAAAACATTAGGGAAGACTTTTTCCATTTGGTATTTATTTTTATTTAAAACATTTATTAGGTCCTGTTCACACGCGGCGAGTTGGGCCAGTTGCGGGCCAGTTTGGAGGCGGATCAAAGCAGCGCGATCACACCACCACATCTGGGAAGCGTTCTGCTTCCGCCTCCAAACTGGCCCAAACCCGGGAAGAACCGCCGCAAAATGAACCACCTACCTCGGTGGTTCGAGTGGACGCGGCGCTTCTTCCCGGGCGTCTGATCGCCGCCGCTCCCTTGCGCCGGCTCAAGCCCGGGCCGGAGCCGAACTGCGCATGCTCCGACATGCGCAGATCGGCCGGCTCCCGGTTAGAGCCGTCTTTTCTCTCCGGCGTTTGATCGCGCCGGGGAGAAAAGGCGGCTCGGCCGGGGGATCCGTGGGATCCCGCCGAGCCGTATCAACGTTGGCGCGGCTTTTAAAAGCCGCGCTTTAAAGGGCTTTTGCCCTGCCGTGTGGCAGGGGCCTTAGAAGCCTTTCTCCCTTGCAGAACTCAAGGCAGCTTACCATATAAATAAAACACAACAAAACAATATAAATAAAACAATCATAAAATCACATAAAAGGTCACAATTTAAAACTCCAATTAGGACTGCCAATTAAGAAAAACTAAATCAGTCAAATGTAGTCCCAAATAAAATTGTCTTCAGCCGCCTCCTGAAGATTGACAGTGAGGGGGCCAGGCACACTTCCCTGGGGAGGTTATTCCATAATTGTGGGGCTGCCGTCAAAAAGGCCCTCCCTTGTGTCCCCACCAGATGAGCCTCTTTGACTGGTGGAACAGTCAGGAGGGCCTAGAGATGTGAAGGCCCGGAAAAAATCGGGGGTGGTGTTGTTGTTTTTTCATTTTTTTCTGAAAAATTGGAAAAATTGAAAAAAGAAAAGAAAAGAAATTGATTATGGAACGTTTTATTTTAACATGATGAATAAAACATTTTAAGACAAGGTGTTCAAATATTTTCCAAATCATTTCTAAAAAATATGTATGGTATCAGATTGATCTGTGCACTGAGGACAAGCAAGTCCTAGGTTACAAACTGAACTCTCCAATGCAAGAACAAGATACATTTTTTCTTTAGGAGGTGCTGTCACAAGAAAAGAAAAAGGTTTCAGTTTTGTTTTTGCATGTGGGTGAGTATTCTGTTTGTAATAATTGTTTGGATACACTATATTTTTATTATGCTAGTTGTGATAATTTCATGCCAAGTAAAAATGTCCAAAGTCATATTTTATGTTCCTAAAGTAACAGAATGACTTTCAATCTGGAAAAGAAAAAATAAGTGCTAATGTAGCATTTTTTTCAATTTTTCCGAAAATTTCAGTTTTTTCTGAGCTTCAAAATTTCCAGAAATTTTACATCTCTAGGAGGGCCTCTCCCTGCAATCTGAATTACCCAACAGAAACACATGGGAGAAGACATTCCTTCAGATACTATACTACCAAGCCAGGTAAGGTTTTAAAGGATAAAACCAACATCTTGAAGCAGACCCATAGCCAACACAGTTGCTGTAGTATCAGGGTCTTATGTTCCCAGAAGCTGGTCCTGATCAGCGGTGTAACCACAGCATTCTGCACTAGCTGCAGCTTCCAAACACTCTTCAAGGTTCAACCCCCCCAAGTAGAGTGTATTGCAACAGTCTAGTCCAGATGAAAGTAAAGCATATATCTCTGTGCCTAAATCTGCTGACCCAGGTACAGATGCCATTGATGTACCAGCTGAAGCTGTGGGGCAGAGCAGGAATCCCCAACATTATCTTCTGAAACTGACCCCCTAGATAGGACTAACACTATCCTAACATGGTACCCCTTAGTCCCACTGCTGTGAGGCAGCTCAGTAGCATACTGTATTCATTAATTTTGAAGGCCACTGAGAGATCCAGCAAAACAATCAGGGTCACATTGACCCTGCCTAGTTCTCAACAGAGGTCATCAACCAAGGTGACCAAAGCAGTCTCTGTTCTAATCCCAGCCTGACACCAGATTGAAACAGATCCAGAAAATCAGCCTTTTCCAAGAACCCCTTGAGATGAGAAACAACAACCCACTCTAGCCCACACTTGTCCAAGAATAGAAGATTGGAGACTGGCTGGAAATTTTCCAGCATGGTACAGGAGCTGCGGTGGCTCAAGTGGTTAAGACGCTGAACTGCAGGCTGTGGAAGGTCGGTAGTTCAGCAGTTCGAGACCTGAGTGTGCCGCATGACGGAGTGAGCTCCCGTCTCTAG